TGGTGATACCAAATCTTGACTTTCAAACTTTTGAAATAACTTCAAAGAACTGTAATACCTTTTCCTTCCTATGAAAATGTGATGAAATGAGGGGTAGCTTAAGACTTCTACACCGCACTGTAAAGCATGTGCGGTGTTAAGCATGCACAATTTTTATTAACAGCAAAAAGGTTTCCAGGGTGTAGCCAGGCTCACAGCCACATAGCTTCTTTTTTTTTTTTTTTTTTTTTTAAATGAAAGAGAAACTAAACTTAGTTTTTTTGTACTACATTTGAGAGGTCAGTGTTGTGTTAGCTTAACTGAACAGTACCAAAGAAATTTCAAGTGTACAAAAATCTTTGTAAGGCACCTATTCCTGTTACTATCGGTCCTAAAATCAGTTGCACGCCATTAGAACTGGAACATGCTTTTATTCTCCAGGGCTTCTCAATTCAAAACAACTGTTTTTTCCTACTACTCTGCAAAGCAGTAACACAAACATTTAAATAAATAGGAAACTTTCAAGCTACAGCCTGAAGACTGACCTGCAAGAGGGAGGGATGGATACTGGATTCTGGACAGCCAGAGCAACACTGTCTCCCTTCTGAAATATCAGATCGTACGGCCCTTCCAACATCATCATACAGTAAAGCACACAGCCAAGTGACTGGAACGGTAGGGACAGCAAAGCACAAGAAAGAGGTTTCATCTGTGAGTGACATTTACTGAGAACAAACATACGCAACACAGAGAAGCCAAGAGGAAAAAGGTCTACACAGTTTTACCCAGATATCAGTGCGCTCATCTATAATGCAGTGGCTCTCAACATTGAAGAGTTCAGGAGCCCTGTACGAAATGGTGCACCGCTGGGCGGCCCAGTCCTGTATGGTCATGGCTTCTCTGGATCCTTTTACCTGCAATGAAGTCATTTTTATTAAATCCATTGTGGGTTAAGTAGTTTAGGGGCTCTAGCGGTAAGACGTTGGATGGATGTGTTAAAGAACCACAAAGTAGTTTCAGAGACATACAAAAAGCAAATCTAACAATAAAAGTTATGGAAATGTTAAAAGTCACATGTGACATTGCTCATTACACAGTCATTACACATGTTTATAAAAAAAAAGAAAAAAGAAAAGAAAATCTAAAAAGAAAACAGCTGTGTATTGAGAAACTAAAGACAAAATCCAGACATTTATCAGTATAACCTAAATATGAGCTTCACTACTCTGCCATCTAGTGGTGGAGCTCAGCAACTCAGCAACATTTAAATTCAATAAAATTGAATTCAATTAAATAAAAGCCTGAAAATTACTTTTCAGTATAAACAAACACAATAAAAGTAGTGATGATGGCACTTTGTTCTTACACATTCAGAGCACAAAAATGCCGTGGAGACCAGTCTCACCTCAGGCTTCAGTTAAACAGACTTTTTTTTTTTTCTTTTTTCACAAAAAAACACATAAAGCCACAAATCTTAAAAATCCTTCTTAGACCCTGGATTTTACCTCAATCCTGGCACGGTTCATTGAGCCAAGGTCCATCAGAACTGGCCTGTCATCCTCATCAAGAAGCACATTTGTGGGCTTTATGTCTCTGTCAAATTATAGCACACAGCAGGCATTTAGATGTAGACAACTCTGTCGGGTTAAAAACAAAAAACAGGTTGACTGTTGCATCAGTCACTCAGGCCTGGAGACCTGTTGCTGACCATCTGGAAACAACCAGTCACTCGGGTAAGCTGTGGGACGTTGGACAAGAAGTAAAAATGCTGTGCAGTCCCACATAAAGAGGAACATCTGGTCACTCGAGCTGAAAATGCCATTTTGACGATAACCAAACTACCTTTAGTTTGTTTTTCAAAAGAAGTACAACTATTTAGACAAATAATCTTGAGACAATGTGCTACATTTTGACTGGTTCTTCAATACATGCACTTTTCTAAAGCCTGGCTTTTAGTCAATGTGTATGAAGGGAAGTATTTTTAGCATAGTCACATTAGCCTGACTAATGTTATACCCAAAGTTCCAAATTACCAAAAAGTAAGAAGCTTTGCAAATTTTTGTGAAAGTGATAGAAACTACAACACAGAAAATGAAAAGGTAGTACATAGTGAGAAATTTGTTTTTCTAAAGTTATTTTTAAATTTTGCACAAGAACAATTATTCTGTGAAGTGATCACATCTGTGTGCATGTGCTATAACCTGTTAAAAATTACTAAAATTGTCAGATATGAGATATACAGATGCTACTGACAACTATTTAGTAAGTTGGCAAGAAAGTTTAAAAGGTTACGTTCAAATATATTGCATTTGACCACCTCCCAGCATTGTAAACGTGTCCCACTTTGACCCACACAAACACTGTGTTTGTCCCATATTTTGTTTGTTGGAATCTGGTCAAGCTATTTTCAGCTGACCATCAATAAAGACAATATGGCAATGAGCTGCAAGACACACAACTGGTTCGACTTATTTAAGTGGTGAAATAATGTTTTTGTTTCTAAATGCATAAGTATTGTGGAGCTTTCTAAAAGATAAAAATTATGGATTTTCCCCCTTTATGGGAGTAATGAATCTGAATATGGCAAAATAATCTGGTATTTCTTTTGAAATGTGTGAAACATGATATATGCATGTAGTGCACTCGCTTGTCATTTCTGCACCACCACGCACTGCTGCTGAAAAACTGCATACCCCAAGTCAAAAATAAACAGATCTGAAGTAAGATTAAAGTTTTAATCAAATAATGCGTTAAACAGCACAATGTTTATTCTTTTTTTCATATAATTTCTTATTCAACATCTCAGTTAGTTGGGGATTACCTGTGTGCATAGCCTTTGTCGTGAATGGTCTTGAGTCCAGAGCAGATACCACGAAAGATTTGCAAAATCTGTTTTTCAGGCATCGAGCTCCCCTTGTCTCTCAGCTTCTCCAGAACAGACCACAGACTGCCTTTCTGTTTGCATAAGCACGCAAGCATATCAGACCAAGATCATTTCTCTCAAGATTATGCTAATGATAACTGCTGCAAAAACTTACTCTCATATATGGCAGAAGTAGCCAGGCTTCAGTCTTGCCTCCATGATCAACAAAGGCATGTGCAACCAGGCTCAAGACATTGGGGTGGTTAAACATCTGGTGCATATCCACCTCTGTCTGAGCCTCCTGGCGACCCTCACGGTCATGACATAGGATTCTCTTCAGGGCATAGAAGTGCCCATCCTTTACCCCTTCAACCAGATCAACAAAACTGAACCCACTGAAAAGAGAAAAAGGTTTATCAATGCAAAACTGACTTAAAAGGAAAGGAACAGTGACATGCCATACATATTTGCTTTTGTTTGAACAAAGGAGGTGAAGAAAAGTGTGCAGGTAGTGGGTTGGAGTTTGTTGAGACAACTATCAGTGGGATTTATGACAGAAGGATAGCAAATTAATCAAAGTGAATGTTTGCAAGATGGTAGTGAAACCTGCTGATGTATGGCTTGGAGCCTGTGATACTGCCCCCTCCCCAAAAAAACAAAACAAAACACCCACAAAAACAAACAAACAAAACAAAAACAAAGAGTGGGCAGACTTGAAGATGCTAAGATTTTCACTGGGAGTGACGGGATTGGACAGGATTGGAAATAAGTAGATCAGAGCGACGGCTTTGGAAACAGTTAGAAAACAAAGATTGTTTGGACATGCACAGAGGTGGGATAGTAGATATGTGTCAGACAGCAGGAAAAGAGGAAGGCCACAGAGAACATTCATGGATGTAGTGAAGGAGGATATACAAAGGGTTTGTGTGACAGAGGAAGACTATGGCTAAGGTGAGACAAAGGGAGATAACCACTGTTATCCTAAAAGGGAACAGGTAAAAGAAGAAACTGGAGCCAAAAAGTTTTAATAATCAACAATGCATTAATCCATCTTTCATTGCCTTATGATTTCCCAGCAAATCTGAGGTTATAAACTTGATTCGTCCCTGTTAATAAAATAAAATAACAAAGAGAGTGTATAGGACCTGTTTACAAACTAACAACCAGTGCCCATGTTCCCTGTAAGTTGAGATGCGGTCACCAAGTGCAGCAGTGAGACTCATGAATGAAGGTCACAGTAATGAGCTACATCAGGATAACTCTTAGAGGATTAATTATTCATTTGTTTCTTTTTCTAATTTAGGATTTGGTGACAAATGTAAAATCTTATGATATACTTCTGCGTAGTTAAAGTCATACAGTGTGAAAGTGTTTTCTTACCCTTCGTCGAGCTTCTGGACAAAATAATACTTTTTGTTATCAATAGTGATGGAGGCACGGGAGCATACGCACATTGTCTGTCCCATCTTGGCTGGTACATTGTCTTAGGGCAAGCTTTTAAAGGGCCTGGGAATTTAAAAACAAACAAACAAACAAACAAACAAACAACAAAAGACAGAAAGTTATCCAAGGGTGACAAAAATGCATAAAGTCTATCAATTGTGTTAACTATGCAAAATAACCGTTACTGGAAGTAATCTAAAAGATATCAGCCCTGTATATAAAACACACTGGGTCTTACAGCGCTAATGAACTGTAACATAAATGCTAGGTTAGCCAACACAGCATTACATTAACACGTAGCATAGCTGAGGATAGCAAAGCTACAACAGGTAATATTTCACATTAGGGTCAACTTTTAATATTAACTCAAGTCGACCTGTAGCTTCACCTAAATACCTACAAGCTATAAATAACACGCTATGCGATTAAACTCGTTAAGTTCCTTATTCTTACCAGTTTCTGTTTACCAGGTTAGCTCGCTGTCATATTGCTACGTCCATTTTCATCTTCTTCTACCATCAGAGTGGGAGGGTTGTACTGCTAACAGCGCCAGAAGACGACTAGCGGTGAAATTGAGTGGAGAAAAAATGGCGGATAACGAGCGTAAAAGGAGGGGTAACACCGACGACAGAGGTGATATGTGTGCTGTTTTATAGTGTATAATATGGTTGAAAAATATAAAGTAGTCAGTGTTAGCTTGATATGCCCCCTGTTTATTAAAACTAAGAAGAGACGTTAGCAGAAGGTGTCTTAAGACAACTTCATGCTAAGTAGATAAGCTTGCTAATGACAAGTTAGCAGTTAACATTGTGTTGACGTTAACCTATTTAGGTGCGTGTCAGATGTACTATTAATTTACAATTGATAAACCAAAGGCATCACTCTTTACTACAGTCCACTGTTTCGTTTTCAGCTTCGTAACTCGCCGGAATAGCTGGTGTGCTATTAGCTAACTAATGCTAGTTAGCGCTGGCATCTTAGCTTGGGGTTACCTGGTCTCATACATCATGTAGAGTGCCTCAAACACCAAATTCTGATAAGATTGCGACTTACTACGCACACAGTCGTCACGTGGATTGATAAAACACCAAATTAAATGGTAGAGTGGTACTTATGTTTCGTTGGTTCATTAATGGCTAGCCATACAGGTAAAGATGATGGATTTAATAACGCCCAGGAAACAGTTGTTCACCTTGGTGAGTTGTCTTGCCTCAAGCAGGGCCGCAGGAGGAGGGAGGCAGAGTGAAAACTAAGCCTGTCTCTTGTAGCACTGTGGGGGGAGAAGGGACCGCAGTCAAACGCACATCCCAGCATCTCACCCACGAAGATGAAGACGAGTCTTCAGCAGACCCACCAGCACCAACCAAAGTCTCCAAAATAGGCTTCAGCATGAGCAGTCAATTGGGGAAGAAAACAAACCCCATATCTATTAAACTGGGAGCACCGGTGAGTATGTGAGACCTTAGACTAACACTGTGCAACGCAGTGTTATTTAAAAATCTGTACCCTATTAATATAATGGGTGTTGTAACACCCATGAATTTGTTGTACACAGTGTCCGAATAGCATCAAAGTTAGAGCATGGGATTGTAAATGATCATGGCACACTGCTCAGAAAAGTCCTAAAGAGTTTTTAAAAAGTAGTAGTGAAGTTTTTAAAAGTTTTAAAAACACATGTCATTTGAATCTGGCCACCAGTGTGAAAGGTGTTGAAGATTTGCATGTTGCTGTGTTTGACAAATTTCCCACGTGTGGGACTAATAAAGGTTATCTTATCTTATCTTATGCTTCCAAAAGACACTCTGAATGCAATCGCAATTTATTACCTTGAGTAAAGTTCTTCAAAATTGTCATTAACAGTCAATAGGACTTAAGAATCAAATGACTATTTTTGGATAATCAGCCATCACTATGACGGTTGCCTCACAAAACACATTTCATCCCTATTTTCTCCATTTTATAAATGTATTCATATGCATATTGGTGTTGGTAATATCCAAAATATCAGAGGTCAGTTTCACGTTGACCTTCTGTGTTGTTACATAAACTTCTTTATTCACTGCTATAATTCAGAAGCTGAAGGAAGGATTGTGATTTCTGAGCAGGGAGGTGTGGTGCTTGATGCTAAGTTGTGGTGTTTTATTTTGTTTTCCTAATTGTCATGTCCCCCAACCTGTTTTTAGAAGCCCAAAGAGACTGCGCCATCACTTCCTGCAAAAAAGCTGGGCCTAGCGTCTGTTTTTAATGAGGATGATGATGTAAGTGCCTGTGCATGCAGGCATGTCACGATCACACAAATGCTTGAACAGTAGATGTTCAGAGGCTGATATTAACTTTCTTTTGTCATGTAGAGTGAACCTGAGGAGATGCCTCCAGAAGCAAAGATGAGGATGAAGAACATTGGGAGGTACAGACTGTACTTTACAATTTTGCACTTGGCTTCTGTGGTCAGCTTTGAAATCTTTAATTTCTTTACTTCTGTCACCTTTTTAGGGAAACGCCAACATCTGCAGGACCTAATTCCTTCAACAAGGGCAAACAGGGATTTTCTGATCATCAAAAGCTTTGGGAAAGGAAGCTAAAGTCCCAAGCAGAAAACCTGTAAATAACTACAGCAAATTTTGTCACTACTAGCTAATTTTGTATAGGTTAACCATGTTAAATATCAGTGAAGGCTCAGATAATTAGTCATTAGAGTCCTAGTTTTTCCAACTTCTCTGTGGGTTTGTGATGATGAGTACTTTAAGCCTGCTTTGATTGTGACTGAATTTGTATTTCCGCTTTGAAATACTGGTTGACCTCTGTGTAAAAGGTGTGAACTGGTGATGAAAAGAAATTCCCCACTGTGATGGCTACAATTGTATTTGCTTTTTTAGGTTAATGAAAAAAAACAAAACTCTCACCTTACACCCCACATTTTCCTTTGCTCCTATCCAAAGCTGGTGAGCAAGTGTGCTGCTTGCTTAATTTCTGTGTAAAAATGTAAATAGGAGTGCCACAGTGTTTTATTTTTAAAATGCCACAAATCAGAGTGTGAGGCCCATGCTGTCTTGAGTGTGAAGTACACTAGGCATGGCATGAGTTTGTCAGTTTCAGATCCTTGGTTTTCACCGGCTGTGCCACCTCAGTGTTTATGTTATGCTTGCTTTCTTTTACCCATTCAGGCTAATTACTGTAGAAATATGTCTGATTTCATTTTTATGTCCAAAACTAATATGTCTGTAGTTGACCTCTGTGTGAAACCCAGACTGAATGCGGCATGATGTGGATACCAGGGTGCGGGTAACAGTGCTGTTGATATGTTAATCAGGCCAATTTTAAGTTGCACCTCACTGATATACATTGTGCTTTACAGTCTGGGGGAAATCCATCTTAATGAGAAATATGAACTTTGAATTTCTGTGGGTTGAGTGTTCTGTTAACTTCCCCTAATAAATTCAATCAACGTTATGCTGAAATCTGTTTCCATTAAATATTTCCTTTTTTTAAATGTGTATTTATAAGTCAGTCTATACTGTCTCTGTAACATGTGAAACCAGGTACATACAAATACTCACGGACACCAATAAAGTTAGTATAGGAGGTGACTATAGTATAGTAGGGCTGAGTTTCGATAATTGATTTTCCAATTAAAATCAATTTCACCTTGAATAAAGCGACATCGATTCATTTCTCACCCGATGGCACGTACACGCCGTTGGGGCTGAAAGCCGACAGCTCACAGATCCTTATGCTGCAGATTTTGTCAATCCAACCAAAATTGACTGAACCAGCAGCAAAAGAAGATCCAAACTATGCTTCACATTTCGCTTCACATAAACATTGTGAATTTCCTCTTACTTTTGCTTTTTTTTGGCTTCTACCACAATAAAATCACACTTCTTGTACAGCTTTCTCTCAGAGTACTTCAAGAACAGTTTCCCATCTCAAATCTCTTTTTTCTGCATTATTTGTTTGCTTATTATGCGCCAGTCTACCGTCGTTTACAGCGGTAGACTGGTTTAAAAAAAAAAAAAAAAGACTTCCAACCAGAAAGCCTCATTTTTTATGTTCAATACTGAAGAAATGTAAAATTTTTGAAATTATGCCAAATTGCAAAACGCTTAGCTGTGTCTCTAATAAAACCTCTAACATTGCTCTGCTTCACTTCAGCAGCATTAGGTAATGATCGTATGCTGATTCATGTTTTTTTTTTTTTTCGGTTTTTGTTCTACTGCAGTATATTTTTAAGGTTATCTGCTTTAAAGCCAGGCCAGGAAAATCTCCTTCATGTTTTTCTGTGTTTTATCCTCAGTTACTTTGACACAAAGGCATCTGCCGTGATGCTCACACCTCTGATAAAGTCTTATAGGTGTCAGTACTGATAATTGATCAGACTTATAATATTTCTGACTTAGTCAAAATTGAATTTAATCAAATCGTGGATCGAATCGAATCAGGAGCTTGTGAAAAAGAATCGAATTGATTCTAGAAATCAGTGACGATACCCAGCCCTATAGTTTAGGAGGTGACTCACCCTTTTTTCCCCTCCCAAAATGTTAAAATGATAGCTATGAATCTACATCTGTGTCATGGAAATTTCCTTAACGTGTGTTTTTGTTCTGACCTTTAGAATCAAAATACATTATTAAAGCCAGGAAGAATTTATTTATTTTTATTGCAGACGCTCAGAGAATAAATATGAATGATAAACTGTAAGCTCTATATAAGAAAAATAAGTACAAAGCAAAACCAAGGTGTTAAACAGTATTTCAAAGTTAAAAAAAATACTATGCACAGTATACACATGAAAATATTTCAGGTATCATAAGGATTTCTGTGGGTTTTTTTTAAATGATGATTTCCTTTGACATTCTGTGGTTAATTGTGGTTGAATGGCTTTTGCTGAAAGTGCTTGCAACATTTTAATGAAAAATATATTAAGAGAACTTTCACCTTTACAGTACACAGTAAATAAATATAATGTACAGTAAGAAAAGAAGAGTAATCTTATAAATTCTATAGTTTCTTCCAACACCAAAAATAATCATTAATGCTACCTCACTGAAACTAGCTTCACTTTGTTTTTGGGCATGGTCTTCCTTAAAGATCTCCAGAAGTTGCTGTGGGAAGGTTCCCCTGACCTCCAATCCAGGCTGGGTAGCACTCCCAAGGCCCTTTGCACAAGTGTGGGCAGGGGGGGATCAGGCTGGATAAGAGATGGCGAGGCTTTAGTGGTCCATAAAAGCAGGAGTTTTAGGACAGAGTTTTGCAGCAAAGCCTAAAAATGTGTAAAAAAAAACCCAAAACAAAACAATAATGATAAATAAACAATAACAATCTAATTGTTAAGAAATTATAAATATTTTCTTGTTTAAAAAATTGCACCTTTATCATAAAAGAAGATTCACACAGCTATTGGTTTCAGTTTAAGTCACTAAAGTGATTAAATGAAACTTACAGGATTGTATTTGGGTTGTGCTTCTTGCAAAATGAAAGTTTTCCACTGGCAACTTCTACATAGTCATTATTTACTAAACATAAGTGCGAAGTTTGGAAGGAAAATTGCATGTTTTCATAATGTGTCCAGGGAAGAAATAAAGATTTAGAAGGTACACTTAACTGCCAAAAGTATTCAATTACCATCAAAACATTTGTTAAAATGAAGTCCATGGCCACAGGTGTATAAAACCAAGCATCTAGGCATGGAGACCGCTTCATCTTCCTCCAAGAGACCTAGAAACACTTATTCATGCCTTAATCACCTCTAGACTGGACTACTGCAATTCACTCTATTTGGGTCCTTAACACTCATCTCTCCATCGCTTGCAGTTAGTCCAAAATGATGCTGCACTTCTTTTAACAGGTGTGAGAATGTATGAACACATCATTCCAGGTTTAGCAAATTTACACTGGCTTCCTGTAAAGTATCGTATTGATTTTAAGATTCTTTTACTAACTTTTAAAGTTTTAAATAATATGGTACCTAGTTATTTAAACAAACTCCTCAACATGTATGACCCCAAAAGAGTGCTGAGTTCACCTAACCAGATGCTCTTAGCACAACCGAGGCCTTGATTGAAGCATAGAGGAGATCGGGCCTTCGTAGCAGCAGCACCCAGACTCTGGAATAATCTGCCAGAGGAGATTCGTACTTCAGAGTCTATTCAGTCTATAAAAGTCACGTCTTAAAACTCACTTTTTTACTTTGGCTTTTAATTCGAGTTCAGTTTGAGTACCTGTTTTATGTTTTTAATGTTAATTCATTGTCTTCTCATTTATCAGTATTTGTTTCTAATTTATCTATATTTGTTTCCCTATTGCTTTCTCTTGTTCTTAACTGATTGTGAAGCACTTTGATTAACTGTTAGTTAACCAAAGGGTTAGTTGTTTTTAAATGTGCTATACAAATAAATTTTGAATTGAATGGAATGGAATCTGGAGCTCAGTGAACTCCAGTGCGGTACCGTGATATGATGTGTATAAGAATGTCTTTTATTTATGTATTATTCACATTATTTTATTGTATAATGCCTTAGGATCAATCTCCACATGCATGCAGCAGTCGGAGGAAAATAATACGTTAACATCATTAGAAACACCCAGGCCGAGTTTTGGCTGAATTTTCACTAACTTCTCCCCGAAGAAAAGAAATGCAGGTCCAAAGCAACAACATGGCAGACCAAGAGACAACAGCAGTGTCCTGAGCGGTGAAAGAAAAGGTCCAGCAGCAGCAGCTGTGCAAGACAGCATCAGCATGGAGAAAACACCATCATCATGAATGGATGGAGATGTGCATTTCCAATGCTCAGCTCAGCATTCAATACCATCGTTCCCTCGAAGCTGGACAGGAAACTGCAGGATCTAGGACTGAGCTGCTCCCTCTGCAGCTGGATCCTTAACTTCCTGTCTGACAGACGCCAAGTGGTCAGACTGGGCAGCATCACCTCATCCCCCATCACACTGAACACTGGTGCTCCACAGGGGTGTGTACTGAGCCCTCTCCTGTACTCACTCTACACCTGTGACTGCACGGCCACTAGCAACTCCAACATCATTGTGAAGTTTGCGGATGACACTACAGTGGTGGGTCTTATCACCAAAGGTGATGAGACGGCCTACAGGGAGGAGGTCAGCGCCCTGACCCACTGGTGTCAAGACAACCATCTCACCCTCAACGTCGCAAAGACAAAGGAGTTGATAGTGGACTTCCGGAGGTGCAGAGAAGTACACATCCCCATCAAGGACACTAACTTCCATCATCAACAGCGCTGCTGTGGAGAGAGTGAGCAGCTTCCGCTTCCTTGGTGTACATCTGGCTGAGGATCTTACGTGGTCAGTACACATAAACAAAACAGTGAAGAAGGCGCAGCAGTGCCTCTTCTTTCTCAGGAGACTGAAAAGATTCGGCATGAGCCCCCACATCCTCAGGACCTTCTATCGCTGTGCCATTGAGAGCATTCTCACTGGATGCATCACCACCTGGTATGGCAACAGCACCGCTTACAACCGCAAAGCTCTCCAGAGAGTAGTGCGGTGTTCTGAACGGATAATTGGAGGTGAGCTTCCCTCCCTCAAGGACATCTACAGGAAGCGGTGCCTGAAGAAAGAGGGGAGGATCATCAAGGACTCCAGTCACCCCAGCCATATACTGTTCAGACTACTTCCATTGGGAAGGAGGTTCTGCAGTATCCGGTCCCGTACCAGCAGACTGAGAGACTGAGACTGAGACTGAGACTTTTTCCACCAGGCCATCAGACTGCTGAACACTTCATAGACACCTCACCTCCACTACTGGAACGTCAACATTATGCACTCCATACTGTACATTAATGCCACTTGATTGCACTATATCCAACTACCAACCTTGTTGTTTACTCTATTTAATTTGTAAAATATGTGTACACACACACACACGTAGATATACATATTTAGTATACACATTCAGTAATATGCATACACTCTTATATTGTACATATATTTATTCATATAATTCTCAGATTTAGCCATTCTTATATTTGCTTGTTCTTATGTTATTGTATTTTTGCACACCTCTGTTGCTTGTGAAGCTTGCACACAAGAATTTCACTCACATGTACTGTACCAGTGTACCTGCACATGTGATGTGACAATAAAAGTGATTTGATTTGGTTTGATTCTTACGTCACTGTCATGAGACATTCTCGCAAAAAAACCCACGGTTTTAGTAACGCAGTAACGCAGCGTGCTTACGGGAAAGTAACGGTAATCTAATTACCGTTTTTGCAATAGTAATCCCTTACTTTACTCGTTACTTGAAAAAAGTAATTGGATTATAGTAACGCATAACGCGTTACTGTAACACGTAGTACCACCAGATCTCTGGTGGGGACCTTTGAAAAGACTCCCTCAGTTGGACATTTGCCACTTTTGGAGTAAAATGGCAAGATGAGACAGTGGATTACACAGGACAAAGCTGAAGAGAACTGACTACCAGTGGTCTG